AAAGATGGGCGGGGAGGCGCTGGGGGCCTCAGGATGGCGGGTTTTGTTTGTTTGTTTATCCGTTTCCAGTCACGCCTGCGCAGTGGCCGCTTCGCAGCCCGGGCCGGACCTCCCGCTCCTCCCACTTTTCTGCGGTCGTTCTACGCCCTCCCAGACTGACTCTATCGGCCAATCAGAGCCCGCTCCGGTTTGGGAGCCCCAGGACTTGCGGGGATTGGCTGGCCAGAAGAAGGGCTGTGGAATTCTATTTGGCTGCGGAGTGGAATCCGGCTGGAACCGGTCTGAGGTTCTGCGACGGCTGCGGGAGGGAGTTTTGAGTGCCTGGCGGGAACGCTCCTAGGTCTGGTTCCTTTCTTTTACGTGATGGCCGGTGAAACTAGGCCACGTGCACTTTGTTCGTTCATTTAACGAGTGCCTGGTGAATAGCTGTTGTGTCCAAGGCCAGGCTAGGGGCTGAGGAGACTAAGCCAGGACCCGGTGCTAAAAGAAGGCGCAGAGGCTGTCGTTCAGAAGTTAAGGATATTGAATTGTGCAGGGCAGACCCTGTGCCCACCCTTCTGACCTGGGAGGGAGAAAGGCGCAGCCTTTGAGCAGCTTGGAGGACACCGGTTGAGGGCTCTGGCCACGTGGAGCGTTTGTCCGGTGGGAAGATAACGTTTGAAAACTGGATAGCACAAGAGTGGCTGGTTAAGACTGTTAGTAATTTGGACTTTATCTTTTAGGCCTTCGTAGTTGTTTGAAGGCTTTCCGCTGGAAGGGAGATAAAGCAATGTTTGGCGACTATTGATCTGGCTCTGGACTGTGATGTGGATGGGGGAGGGGAGCCTTCATAGGCTGTTGTGATAATCACCTGGGAAATGTTTAGGACCTGGACCAGGATAATCGTAATGGCAATATAAGGGAAAGAACATATTACAATATAAGGAGAGAATCAAATGGCAGTGCACATCCTACTGTTTAATGTTTCCGGCTCCCTAGATCTCTTTGCACTGGAACTTTCTTTGCTCTTTTGTAGTCCCGGCCCTACCAGTAAGTAGGGTTTGGACTTTGGACAGGTTACTTCATCTTTCCAGGCCTCAGATTCCCCAGCTGTAAAATGAGAAGGTTTAACCTCAGAGCGATACTAAGGTTCTTCTAGGCCCAAATTGATGAAGGAATCTGTGACTACTCAAGCTAGCCAGGGGCACCGTATTCCTTTGTTGAGTGCCTCCAGTGTTCCAGATGGTGTATTAGACTGGAAATATACACAATCGACTCTGATAGGGGTCCACTTTCAGAAGTTCTGTCACTACTTCTGACCAGGAACTTTGACTTACGGTCTCTACTAATAGTGACCTTTCGTGTAACAACCTAAAGTCACATCTGAGCTTCTATAGGAAGTCACTAACTTGCCTAAAACTTGGATATCCTCAGGTTCCTTCCTAGTTTTACTGCAATAGTACTTAATAATTCAGTAGCTGTTAGGAAGGAAGAATGGGAGAAGTCACAGGTGACACTGAGATGAGAAGCCTGAGTGAGTAGGAGAATCTTAATTGATCCCTTTGACAAACAAACAAACAAAAAAAAAAAAATAGGGAGAAACTATTCGGGATCAAGTCTATAAATCTTGTACATAATTTCAGACCTTTCTTCCCATTTCATAGATAGGATCTCAAATTTCTGGTGCTCTTGCATTTCCAACTACCACCTCTCAAAGGATATCCCTTTGCCTATTGTAATTTTGAATCCAGTTTCCTCCCATCTCCTCAGAAATACCATTTCACCAAGTTATCCTCTTTATATGTATCTTGAATGTTTCCTCTGTGCTGGATTTCCTCTTTTGGATTTAATCTGTGACAGATTTAAATTTTTATGAAAAACAACAACTTGCCAAGCCCTAGGGTTTTTAGGTTTTGTTTTTTAGGATTTGGGCATAGAGTGTGGGCACTCACCAGAGAAAGACAGACAGTGAGAGGGAAAATAAGAAGTCACCCACCAGGAAGGATGACCGTGCCACAATCCTTTCTCCTCCATTCTCCTGGGATTTTGGACATGCATGCACATGCACCCAAGTATGATTTTCAACCCTCCGGGTCCAGAAGGCAAAACTGCAGTTGGCCATGTGGGAGTTCAGAGCCTTAAGCACCATGCCACCTGCTGGCCCCTGCCCTAATCTTTTTACACATTGCCTCCTTTTCTTTTATAGCTAAGATTCTTAAGTCTGTTCTACATTTCTGCCTCCTAGTCATCCCTCAACCTGTTACAGTCTGCCACTTCACTGATGATTGCTGTTCCAAGATTACTAAATAATCTGACTGAAACATGTTTCAGTCCTTAAGTTACTTGATATTTCTGCATTCTGTCTGTCTGCCATTTCTTCCTGAAATCTTTAATGCAGTCTCCCAACACACCAGTTCCTAGCTGTGTTCCTCCATCTCTCGACCCCTTTTTGGATTCTTCTTAAGCCCATCTCAAGGTCATTCCTTCTATCCTCATTTCCTCTATCTTTCTCCATTTCCACTGCTCTCTTTCTCTCTTAGAAATTTCAAATATTCTATGTTCATGTACTCCAGTTTGTCAACCTCAAGTTTGATGTAAAAAACTAACTGATCGATGGATATAATCTGATTACTACAAAGAAAAAAAGAAAAGGCAAACATTCATAGATTATTAGTAATTTTAGCAATTCCTAAACTAATGTTATTCTGTTTCAAAGTTAAACCTCATCTATGGTGAGGCTGATGTGCTTTTCTAATAAATGAGCTAGTCAACCATGTGATAACCACATCTCAAGCAAGCTTAGTCATTCTCAACATTTTCAAGGAAAAATTATATATCACTGTGATACTTACAACTTGCAGATTTTATGAAAATTAAGATGTGTTCTACCCAATCCCTAGAACTCCTCCACCTCACTTCATGTAATTCTGACCCTGAAAGGCATACAGTCATGTACAACATAATAATGTTTCAGTCGGTGAAGGACCGCACAAATGACAGTGGTCCCATAAGGTTGTAATAGACTATACCATCTAGATTTATGTAAGTACAGTTTGTGATATTCTCACAACAATGAAAATGCCTAATGATGATTTCTCACAATGTATCCCTGGCCTTAAGCAACATATGACTGTAAATCCCTCTTTTTATGATATTCACATACACATTCTAAGACTGTATAATTTGTATTTCCCTGGGACTAAGGGTTTCTTGCTTTAGCGGTAAACGCTGTAAATAGTGTTTTTAAATTGTGATTTCTTATTTACATATCATTGTTATACATCTGTGGAGTATAGTGGAAAAATATTATTTATTGATGAAACATTCCAGTGTTCCATAACTAAGTTAAACAATTATGTAAAATCCTATTGAAAGAGAAAAATGTTAGATTAGCTTAATATGTAATTATATATCACATTATAATGTACTGTATTAGGGAACAGTTAGGTAAATTTTAATTTAAAAAGCTTCTATAGAAATTTTAAATGTGTGCTTTGAAATTGCCTACCTACTATAAGAAAATGAGTGTCATTGTACAATTGATATCACATTAAAGGGGGACAAAGGATATAGAAAACTCAGCCCATAAAGGAGAAGGCTACATGAAGATACAGAAAAGGAAAAACTATAAAATTCTATTTTCTATTTCTATTATTCCCCACAAATACTGTTAAATATTTGCACAAAACTGTAAGATCGAATAGCAGAGTAAACGGGCAATGGGTTGAAAGAGTCATGAGTTGAATGTTTCTGGCCTTCTTCATTTCATGATCCAGTTGTTTTCATTTTCTGTTTTCCTTATATTCTAATTCTATTTTTGATTCTGTTTCACTGGCTTTTCTACATCAGTCAGAAATTAAGGAGGTTTAATTTTTTTCTTTGTTATATGCAGAGAAGTCTAAAGAAAATCATAGAAAGAATGAATTCAACTTACACTAAAATGTTTAGGGTCCTTAGCTCAGTTTCAGTGGCATAGATGGTAGTGTGTTGAACTGGAATACTGGAAGCCACAAGGCTGACTGTGGGTTTGAATCTCTGGTCATCCTGGAACATGCCAGGTGCATGTGTGGGCACCTAAGATCTTGACGACCTGAAAGTATGGGGGAATGAGGCTCACTGAGTGACAAAACCCAGTCAAGGGTGCCTATCTTTCTTTCTTTGTCTGTCTGTCTGTCTGTCTCTTTCTCTCTCTTTCTCTCTCTCTCTCTCTCTCTCTCATGCATGCACATGTGTTTACACAGATACACTCTGTCATTAATAAAATAAACATTTTTTAAAGCACTTGTAAGGCTTAGCTACAGTGGTACATGTTAGGGTGCCACTGCATGATGTTGGGACTATTTTGGAAGCCCAGATTCAGATCCTGAATGGCAGCGCACACTTGTAATCCTGTCTAGCTGGGAGGCTGGGGAGGCAGGATCGTCTGGCAACATCTTGTTGAGAGTCTCTCTCTCTCTCTCTTTCTGTCAATACATAAACCAAAACATGCTTGTGTCATTGAGAAAATATTCCTTCATCTCCACTCTAGTGTGGGGACAAGAATGAGCATATCAGAAAGATTAAGACCTGGTCTCTGCTTCACTTTAACAACTATAACGTAATCCTAATGTCCCTGTATCACTAAGATCTTATAAGAAAAATGATCTTCTCCAAATGTCTTGCTGTTTGTGCTATGAAAATTTTCTACTAATTATATTCTGCATCAGAGCATTCTTTTGGAACACACGAGAGAAAGAGAAAGAAAGAACTTTAAATTTCTGGATTTTCATTCCTTTTATCCTTCCCATCATGCTAAAACTCTTTTTCTCTCTCTGTTTTCTCTCTTCCTCTCTCACATTATTTTTCTACTCTCTTCATTATGAGTTACTATTTAACCTAGAAGTAAAGAAGGGTATGTATTATATTTCTTCTGCAGTAACATAAAGAATGACTGAGCCTTAGTTGCGGGCCCATATTAAGTTACAGTAAGTTATAGGAAAAGAGAAAACTTCATTAACATATTAACTAAGTGATAATCCAAAAGAGCTGAATTAACTTTCAACTTTTACATGCCAAGCTAAAATTTTCAGGCATTGGCTAAGGTTTGCCTTCATAAATATGTATATATCATTGCTTTTATTACGATAAAGGGTCTTATAACAAAGTAATTGTAATGTTAACAAATGCGTATTCACATGTATAATTTCCAAATCAATATTGACCTGCAAAATAGCTCTTTGTGAAGTTACTTTAATGTAAGTATGATGTCTTTATGCAAAATATTTTTAAAAATAATTTTGGTATTGGTAATCTTATTTTTTTTAATTGCCAAAGGGTAAGTATACTCATTAGAGAGAGACTGAGCAACAGAGAGAGAAAGAGAAAGCACCCCCCCCCATGCAGTGTGGTCATCCCACAATCCCTTCTCTATTTCCCCATACTGTTGAGATTTGGGGCACACACATGAATCCAGAATGTTTTTCAAGTGGCAGAGACTGAATTTGAACTACAGTTGGCTATGTTAGAGCCAGCTCTCTTAACCACTAGGCTATGGGGCCAGCCCTGGTATTGTGAATTTGTATCCTCTAATAGTGGAATTGTTTAGGCGTTACAGTCAAAATTCATTTTGAATACAGGGGGCGATCAAATTGTATTGAAAAGTGAAATATGGCTGTAAGTGCTAAGACCAGTTTTCTTGTGTAATTCATGAAGCATCTAAACCAAATCCCAAAAGCAGAGTCTCAGAACTCTATTGCACAATTGTTGAGATTACTGTAGTCTACCATAATAATAGCATTTAAGAAAAAGATGCATTTGACTACATATATATATTTGTTTAAAAGAGGTCTCTATGCAGACACTCCTGTTAGACTATTGATGAAAAGTTAGTTACATTAACAAAGCAAAGAACAAAAGTTTAGGTATTAGCTTTCTGTATACTTTTTATGATACATAGGTAATGTATTATATTTTGTCTATTCATTCAACAACTTTTCAGTGCTGACCATGAGTCTAATGTATACAAAGTGCAATGGCTATAAGTCCAACAATAGATACTATGATTATATGATTATAGCATTAGAAAGTTCAAAGGCTAAATGAAAATACACGTTTTCTGGAAAATGGACATGATGAATAAAATGTTACACAATTATAGTGTTTCTTAAAGAAAAGCTCTAGAATTTTAGCAAAATATTTGTTATATAGCCAAACAATATATGACTTAAAATAAATATTTTGGCTAGATATTCATCAAGTCCTCTAATTTATCATTTTAAGTATTACATCCATCAATGTGATGTATAATCCAAATTAGCTATCTAATCCTATTCTAAATTAACTTCTTCAAAAATGATAAATTTTGAACTTCTGAAGTCCACTTATTTCTTAAATTCTGTCATTTTCACCACAATAATCAAAATGTAAAACATAAGAGAAAAAGTTTAATTGCAACAAATTAATATTTCTTAAACTTTTCTAGAAAAACTCTCCCAGGAATGAATAGGATCTTCTCACTTAGTTGGGATGGTTTAGTATTTTCAGTAGGGCAACCAATCTTTTTGTAGATATTGTCACATTTGTAGTAGGTATTGCTTATGAACAGGCAACCGACTGTCTGTGGGTCCACCTAGAAGGATCTGTGATATAAACATACGACATTTTATTACAGAAGTTTATGTTTAGACCTGCTATATTGAATAAAAGTGATCATGAATACTCACCAATATGCTCACTAGTAAGGACACGAAAGATACAGAATCTACATTTTTATACTAAACTTGGAATTGTGGCTAATAATTTTAACCATGACATTTTCAGATCACTAAAATTTTCTTAACTTATGGGCAAGAAAGTCCCAAAATTAGACTTTTTGTTGCTTTTATAGCATTGTAGCATTTATTTGCAATACCTCATGGAAAAGATACTAAGTAAAAGGGAAAAAACTGTCAGGAGTAGAGGGTTCATATGACTGACATTTGCTTTGCATTATTTCTGTTGTTTTGTATTAAGAGAGTGAAATATCACCCCCTTCCCTAAAATGGAATATAACAGATTATAGATTTTATGCACAAGTGTTATTGATGATAAAATTTTGCCATTTAATCCTTAATTCAAATTAACATTTTTTAGTAAGTACCATTTTTTTCTAATAGATTCCATTTTATTGATGACAATATAAATATTATAATAATATAACAGATCTCTTTACTTATTTATCTCATATATTTTTCAAGAAAAATAAGCCTTTTTATTTACTTGATTTGTTAAAAGTAGCAAGAGGTCGTATTCATTTAGTTCTCCAGGTCACTGAGTTAAGCAGGTTATGATTCTGATATGCACGTTTTGGGTATTTTTCCTTTTGAGTATATTTTTAGTTTTAGGCAAAAGAAGATATCCCATCCAGTTATGCACATGTTCTTTGGTAGATTCTTAAATTATGTATGATTAAGGCAGCTTCAAGATTTTACAATTCTGAAAAATTGAAATAAAATGCTTGCTGCCACACCGTCTTTGTTATTCTTTTACCTGTATTACTCAGTCTTCTGTAGGATTTAGAGCTCAGTAAAACTGTTGCTGAAAATACTTGGATGAATTTAATAGAATAGCTACATCTGCATATAAACTTGAGCTTACTATTTTCTTTGAAAAAAATTTTTCCCATAAATAATGATGAATATTAGTTTTAAATCCACACATCAGGACAAGCACTGAAACGTGAGCATCTGTTTGCTACTGGCTCCACGTCAACCTTACTTTATTCATGTATCCTGACAAAATAAAAGAAATAGTATTTTTTGCTCCCTAGGCAAAGACGTCTTTGCATACAGCACTTGCACAATCTAGTTATTCTTATAAGTGGTCAAATTCCAAAACAGGAATGAAGAAGATTCTCAGGGTTTCAAGTCCAATTTACTAGATGAAACCTTTACATATTAATGTTCATAATTCCTCCTATTATAGCCATTTGTAGAATAAAAACAAGTTGAATAGAAATATGAATAAATGGTTAGTTTCAGGGTACACTGTAGTATTTTAAACTGTAAAAATGCAGTATCTTCAAAAAGTTCGTGGAAATTTCATCTTATGAAAAAACTATGCCTGGATTTCTAATTTTTTTGGTACCAAAATATGCTTGTACTTTAATTCCATTTTTCCCATGAACTTTTTGAAGTACTCTTGTGCAGTTTCTTATGGAACTTATAGGCAAATTACATGTTGCCATCACAATGGGGCTGACTTGGTAAGATCCTAAGGAAGACTACTTTTAGAAGACACTGATTTTCAAACCCACTTCTCAGATCTAAACGGCCTTATTTTAACCACCATCTATTTTAAACAGAACAATTTCACATTTTAAATTTCTATTTAATATGTTAGGATTGTGCTTAAGATTCCTTTTTTTAAAAACCTCTTACCCAGCAAAGCAGAAGTTACTTACCTGCTCCATTTTTAGTGGCTTGGGTGAAATCATCCTCATCCTCATCCTCATCACAGCTTTCGCAGTTTAATTGTTGGAGGACTGTTTCTGATTGGCTTTCAGCCTGATTGACATCTTTTTGCTTATTGAAGCTTCTAAGTGCCACAAGACGATGATGTATTGCTGCATGCAGATACCCTGTATCTTTGGCACTGGCCTGCATCAGGAAAATTTTGTAAAGATTATCAATTACTTATTAATGCTAGCTCTATTTTAAGTATTTTTAGTCTTTCACTATTAATTGGAAGGAATTGTACAGCATAAATCTAGAAATGTAAATAAGTGCTAACAGTCCTAAAAATTAAAGGGTAAAAAGTCAATCTTGAACCAAATTGCATCCTAAAATAAATAACTATATGAGGTCTCATTTATACATTTTAAATCAAGAAAATGAAATTATGTGACTTTAAATTTCTATTTGAATTTAAATTTCCTAAGACCATCCTTTCTTCCTATTTTACACTATAGAAAATTGTAGGATTGAAAAGGAAAAGACTTCTATTTGTTTCCATTGCTTTCCTTAGTAGAGCTCCAAGCTGCATAGTTCCATGGAGAAACAGAGCTCTTTAGAGAACTCTGTGATACTTTACCATAAACATACCAGAAATTCTTGCTTTTTAGTACTTTTCTATGCTATTTTAATGTTTTCTATTAATATAAGAATGATAGGAGGTGATGTGGTTAAGGCGCTGGGTCCTACATGGCTGACTCGATGGTTCAATTTCCAGATTTGGTGGCTTGAAAAACACACCAGGAATGTGTAAGTGCATGCCCAAAATCTGAGAGGAAAATGGAAGACAAGGGATTGCTGTGTGACCATCCCTCCAGGGAATGATTTCTCACTTTCCCTCCCTCTCTGTCTCTGATGAGTACACACGCCCTATGACAAAAATCTTTTAAAAAAGGGAAAGAAAATAATGATAACAGCTGTCATTGGTATAACATTTACTATGATCATAATCATTTTTCGAAATCAAATCCTTATAATAAAACCATAGATTCATTATCCAAAGTGGGTCACACAAGTATTCAATGTACACTCCTATGACACACGCCCTTTTAAAAAAGGAAAAAAAAATGATAACAGCTGTCATTGGTATAACATTTACTGTGATCATAATCATTTTTCGAAATCAAATCCTTATAATAAAACCATAGATTCATTATCCAAAGTGGGTCACACAAGTATTCAATGTACACTGTTTCCCTCATCCCTTTACAAACTAGGAATGGCTCAGAGAGAAAAAGTGAGTTGTCTGAGTCAGCGAGTTGGCAGTGACTTGAATCCCAACTTTTTGTCATTCAGATCAGTGAGATTAATGGAATAAATTATGGCACTAATAAAATAGAATTCTCTTATCTTCTAAAAGAATTTTTGAATAAACTATTCAGCGACATGAACAAACTAATTTTCATTCATAAATAAAATTATATATGTATATTTCACAGTCATATTAGGTATTTAATCTTTCCAACAGATTTATAAAATGTATTATTACCTTCATTTTGCAGATGAGTAAAATCAGTTCATGGAAAGCTGAGTGACTTGCTTGAAAGTCATATAATATGTATAATATAGTACATTTTTATATGCGCATTTGTATATATGTATACTCTTGTAGTATATACATGGTTTGTGTATTATATATTATATATACTAGAAATATATATATATACACACACATATATATATATGCACACACATGTGTATTAGGTCATTGGGAAAGTCATGACATTATTTTTCTACTTTTTTTAATGCAAAAAGGCATCATGACTTTCTCAATGACAATATATACACACTAAAATAAAGACCAAAATGTTAATAGAACCATTTCTGAGAATGAAAGTTTGAGAGATTTTTCTTGTATTTGGTTTGCTTATCTCTATAAAATATCCTGCAGTTTAGAAAATCACAGGCCAGATATTGAGCAGCAGAGTGTAATTATGGCTAACAGGCTCATTCTCTTGAAGGCTGCTTTGCCCAACCAAAACAAAGTGGATCTGGCCAGGTGAAGTATCTATCATCTCCCTAAGTGGTAAACAGGATTTGAATATCATTTTACCCTAGCACTTTAATCCTCAACTTCACTTATACCTAATAGTGCACTTACTGGCAGTTAATAAAAATCTTTTTTTTTTTTTTTTCATTTCTGGACATTTACCAGCTTTTTTGTTCATTTCATTACTAAATAGGTGCCAAATCACTTGTAATGTAACCTTCTGCCTGAGTCCCTCGGGTACTCAATCTTTTTCAGTCTTTTGGGTCTCAGACCACGTGGGAAACCTAGCTTTTTTTTTTTTTTTTTTTTTTCTTTTTTCTTGTCAGCTCTCTTGTGTGTGCCTCCCGTATTTGAGGTCAAGAATTTCTCCTGCCGGGAACAGCTAAAGCTGTGCTCCCATCCGGTTGCCTTGGAGATTTACTCATGTACAGAATTGGAATTTGCTGTTTGACTGGTTGTTTTAAGGTTGTTAGTCCTGTGTTTTTCCATTTCTCACTGGTTCCTTCCTGTGATTCCAAAGCCTTCTCAATCTCAGCTTGCAGTGTAAGTGTTCAGTTTCAGATTCTGCTGAACAACTCCTGAAAGAAAGCTGTTCCTGACAAATAGTCACTTTGGCAAAAGTTAGTGAGACTGTTGTCATAATTTCAACAGTAACGAGAAGGATAAAGGATTGACAACGATCATCACACAGATGTGTTAGAACTGGGTACTGAAGACTTTAGTGTTAATTCCTTAGTTTCATATACTGTAAATAACAATAATGAGTGACTGAGGTTTTGCTAGTGATATAGATTATTACAACAAAATGAAAAAAAAATACTATTAACTAGAGATCTATTAATATAACTGGGTAAATATCACTGAAATCTTTCACTTACCTGAATTAAAAACACTTTGATGCTATAGTCCTCTAAGTCAGTAGCTGTTATTTGTATATTTTTGTGGTTTGCTCTTTGAATCTTCATTTGTGCCCAGAGTTTGCTATTGAGGATCAGCCTCAAACTGCCTTGGTTGCGCATAACTGAAATAAGAAGGACACACTATATCAGACCATAAAACAGTTGGTTCCCTAGCTTTTCAGGGGAATTTACCATTTTTGAAAGCAAAGTAAATCTCTTACTTGTTTTTCAGACTGTATATTCACTATTAAACTGTAATTCGACTAGATTATAACTTGTTTTTTAAACTATATTTAGGCTTTATTAGTTGGAGAACTTTTCTTTAGCTTAAATGTTGGAGTTATGGGGCCAGCAGGTAGCATGGTGGTTCAGACATTGGATTCCCACATGACCAGCTGTGGTTTGAGACCTGGACCCAGCAACTTAAAAATCATGCTGGGCACGTGTGCATGCATGCCCAAAATCCTAAAAAGAGAATGGAGAAAGGATTGCAGTGTGGCCATCACCCCTTGGTTAGGAGGGGGGTGACTTTTCACACATCCTATGGCAAAAAACAAACAAACAAAACCCTTAAAAAAATACTGGGGTGATGTATTTTTTACTGTAATATTTTTAAATGGTTAATATTTTAGAACTCTTTAAGACCTAGTTGTCTGAAACATATTCAAGAATTATTTACAACAGAGATACTGAAACAAAAACATACAGAGAAGTGTTCACAAAAATGGAATTAGTTAAATAAGTTGTGGTGCGGCCATTCAAGAGGATTTTATGAACCTATTAAGAATACTGCAGAGGGCCAGGCAGTGGCATGGTGGTTAAGGTGGCTGGATCCCACATGGCCAACTCCAAGGTTCAATTCCTAGACCCTGCAGCTTGAAAAGCATGTGTGCCCAAAATGGAGAAATGGAGTAGAAAGATTGTGGTATGACCATATGCCATGGTAGAGTGCTAGCTCCCTCTTCCTCTTCTCTCTCCATCTTCCTCTGGCAAGTGCACATGCCCTCTGGCAAATTAAACAAAGAGACAAACAAACTACAGAAAGATATTTATTGATGTGTGAAGTTTATCATGGTGGTATATTATGTAAAAGAAAAAATCAGCTTACAAAGCCAAATAAACACCATAAATCACTAATTTTGCAATCTGTGTATACACAGATTTTTTTAATTTGTAGAAGAAAATTACATCCTGTTAACAGAATCTATCTCAGGAAGGTGGACCTTTAAATAATCTTTTTCTTTATATTGATTCACATTTTCTGTTTTCTACAGTGAACATGTTATTGCCTACCTAATAAAAACAAAAGTCATTTGGGGGGTTCAGTTTTGCTTTTTGCTTTTCTGTTTTGTTTTGTTTTGTTGGCAGATAGTAGAATTAAGCCAGTACAGAGGACAACTAGTACCTGCATAGGGAATATTACTTGGGTAGGTTGTTTCATAACCCATCTGCCAGTTAAAGAACTAAAGACACTGTTCTTATTCCATTAATCTGAATTCTGTTTCTTACCATATCTTGAGTTTGTTATTTGAAACTCAACAAATATCCATACAACCATATCTAACTTCTATCTGTGGTCTCCTCTAAAACTCTGACTTCTCAAAACTTCCCAGTAAGCCCATTCATCCCACCCAGATTTCTGCCTGTGCTCAATTTCTGTTTGGGACTCTCAATAATGCCTTGGTGTGTCTTTGATGGCCACACCTCTTGTATCTCCCAGTTTGACTGACTCCTGCTTCTGATCATCACTCTGCCCACAGGATTCTATAACTACACACCTTTTTTCCTTGGAAAGTGACCCTTCATCCCAACCCCCACACAATGTCTGGAATGCCAAGGATAAATATGGGGCACGTATTTTCTTTTAGAAAAATGTTTCTTTCATTTTGCAAAACAATTTGCATCTTATTTTATCAAACAACAATATTACTGTTCGATGTGTACTGGGCTTTGACATAATTGCATTTCATGCATTAGCTCACTGAATACTAGCACTCAATAAGTCATTAACTACAATTACCCCCATGTTAAACTGATGCAACTCGGGTAGAGAGAAGTTAAGTAACTTGTCCTAAGTCACCAGTTAGTAAGTAGTAGAGCCAGAGTGGAACCCATGCTGTCTGAGAGGAGAGCCTTCTTGAAACAGCATGCTTCTGTTGTTAAGTTAGAAATAATCTTGTCAATGGTGTGATTTATGGATGTGTTTTATAACACAACTCTAGAAAACGATGTGTATCTGTGTTCAAAATGTTACCCTGAGAAGTTCCGGCTTGATTTACAAAGGAATTCCTTACTTAGTCTTGACTGTAGCGTTCCACAGCTGCTGCTTGCTATGTCGTTCAGTCGCAAAGTCCCTCTGCCCCTTTCAATCCAGGATTGTGTTGTTTTGTTGAATATAAAGAGCTTGCAGTTGATCTAAATGACAATTTTTTTAAATGCCAAATATAAATTTTTTTCAACATAAATTATTTCCTATGCTAAAACACTTCCATCTTTCTCTAATCTTTTACCAGAATAACCTTTATTAATATCTTATAAACCAACTTTTGACATGTATTTAACTTTTAAAAAGTACAATTTTTGAATAGTAAAAACACATACAATGTGGAAAGGACCAAACCTCTGTTCCTTATCTGCCATATTTTATCCCTACAACAAGTAATCACTACTATTAATATTCTGTTTATCCTCCCAGAGATATTTTTCTATAAGTGGTAGAATACCATACTTACTTTCTACTTTTTTACTTAATATTTCTATATATACACCAACTTTTAAATGGAATATTATTAAATTATATAATGTTATTTAAAAGTAAATGATGGGGGACCAGCAGATGGCATAATGGCTATGTTACTGGACTCCCATGTAGTGGACCGTGGTTTGAGTCCCAGACCCAGTGGCTTAAACTCGCGTCAGGCACATGTGCATGCATGCCCAAGATTCCAAGAGGAGAATGGAGGAGAAGGGATTGTGGCATGGCCATCCTCCCTGGGGCAGTGATTTCTCTTCTCGCTTTCTGTCTTTCTTTCTGTCTCTGTCTTTTTGGTGAGCACACGCACCCTATAGCAAAAACCTCTCAAAAAAAAAGAAGTAAATCATGGAACTATTTGCATGCTTAAAAAATTGTAAAGATGGCATGAGAACATGAAAAACTAGTATGTGATACCACAGGATACCCTACTCAAATTTGATTACCAGGGATTCTCAAATACCATATGTACATGAGTCACCTGGACAGTCTATAAAAATATAGTGTCTGGGGCCTCATCCTAGCATTAATTCATTAAGGCTGGAATCATTCTAATCTAATTCAAGTGTTAGGCTTTGAGACACACTTATTTAGAATAAAGTACCCATAAACCATGAAGGAAATGTAAAGGAATAGAGAGTTTAGAAGAAAATCAGATGGAGAAAAAAACAAAGGGGAATTGCTGCCTATCAAAATGATAGCGTAATAATTACATTTCATATGAGTAGGTTGATGGTGAGACCATTCAGTTTCTGTGTATAATACTGCATTGATACATCTGTGAAATTCATCATTCATATGACATTCTAAACTTTTAAGAAGAAAGAAAATTCTTTTTGTTATCTTGAACTGGAGTCAAGTTATCTTACCCCTTATCAACGTTTTAAAACCTTCAGTGTAAGCAGCATTTTTTATGTGTGTGTGTGTTTTTTTTTTTTTGGAGAGGTTTTTGCTATAGGGCGTGTGTGCTCACTAGACAGACAGAGAGAGACAGAGAGACAGAAAGACAGAAAGCGAGAAATCACCCCCCCAGGGAGGATGGCCTCACCGCGATAGTTTCTCCTCCATTCTCCTCTTGGGATCTTGGGCACGCATACACACATTCCTGGTGTGAGTTTTAAGCCACCGGGTCCGGGACTTGAACCGCGGTCGACTACATGGGAGTCCAGCGACATAGCTGTTACGCTAACTACTGGTCCCATAAGTAGCATTTTTAAACCATGATAATTGCACTAATTATAAAAGCAAGTATAAAATCTAAAGCATATATCTGAAGTTATTTTAAGACAGGATCCTCGGGTGTCTTATTCTTGAGACTAATACAAATGACTGTTAACACAACAATATGTTTTCCTGGAAATTACATGTTAAAATGTAAGAACACAATAAAACATTGGTTTCATCTTTGGAAGGCTTCCACATTTTTATGTAAGCAACTTTGTCTTCATGGAAACTCCACTTCTGTTTGCATTTTTAAAGATGTCCCTGCTGACGGTAACTTTATTCTATGCATGTAAGTGCTACCAGGAAGAGCAATACATGATATACTGACCTTTAACACATTATATTCTGCTTCCTCCCCTGTTATAACATCAACTTTCTCCAGCAAAAATTTCTGTGGTGGTTGGGAAGAGAAAGCAGCAGCAGATTCAATTAAGGATGTGTTTTTCCTAGAGTCTGTTCCTAAGAGAGAATGAAATATATTAAAAGCCCATTTTTCTCTGCTGTATAAAGTTCTTTGTTGCCTTAGTTACTAATACACAGTTTCTTGGCTTTTTATAACAATAAGAATTTTCTCCCCACCCAAAAATCAAACTGCTGATTTGGGGTAAAAGTCTTGATTCCCCTATATCATTAAGTCAAAAATTTAAAAATTTTAAAAATTTTAATCATTTATATGATTTATCTTCACTAAAAAAAATCAAATTATTTTCTGTTTTATAGATATTAAATAAATGACATGAAAAACAAGAGACAAAATAGTTGAATCAAATGTTTTACAAATGAAATAATCCTTACTTGAATTTGGAGAGTTGATAGGAAATTTTAGAATGGATTTGAACGGTTTTTCCTTGGCATGTGAATCATTTTCAAGTTGAGGTTGTATGAGTTTTTGAGTATCCTAGAAGGGGAAAATGCCTTATCAAATTTTACCCCTAAATATTTGCAGTAAGTAAGCCAAAAAATAACTTTTGTTCTATTTCAACATGGCAAACACACCCCAGCTGCTATGTTTTAGTTTTGAGCTTCCTATATGCTGAACAGGGAAATTCTTCCCTACCATTAGAGGGGCCTTGGTTCCAATCCTCAGAAAACAACCTAGTTACCACCAACCTGTTTTAGGCAGGATTTAGTCCCAGAGACAATGGGAAGTATTCTAATGGCACTTCAGACTAACCTCAAGACTGGAAAGTGTGACTATCTGAAGCAATTTTTGTCAACTGTTACCTTTAAGGCTACATTCTTGAGGCTCTGTACATCTGTTATAACCAAACCCTGCATCTAAAAAGCCTTAATAATTGCCATGCCATTTATGATAACGTAAGTTTCTGCAGAGCAGAGAAAATGGGAACAATGATACTAAAGAATTTGTTTCTATCTTTTCCCTTACAAACTCGATTCTTTCACATGATTTAATTGGCCATCAAGATATCACCTTAAATGGATAGAATGGGTATAATTATCTCCATTTAAGAAAATAGACATGAAGATGAAGAGAGTTTAACAACTCACTCCAAAAACACATGGTCAACCCGTAAGCCAAAAGTACATCTCATCCCCCATATCACAAGGCCACAGGTTTACAGGAATAATTAGCAGGCAAGTGTATACAAATTATCTTTGTAGTTCTTATTATCCTTAAGATATTAACAAGACAAATTAGGAACCTCTGGTTCCTTCATAAGCCAAATTTAAAATGTCCATAGGAAATGTGCATTAGTGCCCTTTGGAACCAAGCATATAGTCCTGACTGTGGTTCATTTGTATAGCCATTTCTGTATCTCCTCTTACTAGACTATAAGTACCTCTAGGTCACTGAGCTTCGCTTAACCACTGAGGTGGTTTTCAGACCTGGCTATAGATAGAATCACTACTGCCTGGCTTCATTCTCAGAGATTCTGATCTAATTGGTCAGTGAGGCCCAGGCTTAAGAAATCCTTTTAAAACTCATTGAGTAATTCTAGTATGTAGCCAAACTTGAGACAACACTTTGTACATTACAGGAACTCAATACGTATCTGGTAAGTTGTGCTGAATGATAAAGTTGATCCTGTAATATTTAGGAAGCATCTTAATCATGTCTGACATCTTGTAGAAGTTGTGTCTGATCTAGTGTCAAACTTAGAAATGAATAATAGGGAGTAAGTGTGCCTTAATATATTTCCTGGAGCTTCACCCTGGAAGTCGGTCCATTCTGGTGCAGATCTAAAAGTGCAGTCAGCAACTCTAGGATTGGTAGAGTTGGACTTCTTGGGAGTCACAGAAGGGTACCTCTGAGCTGAAAAGCTATGATGCTACTCTTGGAATTGAGGTGTAGCCTGAAGACAGTCTGAAATAAAGTAGGTCTTAAAAAGAAATGAATTTTAAAAGTCTTGGAATAAACTAGTTTCATGAGTTGGTCTTTATCTGAACCCTTACTCATTTTAAAATCTCTATAGCTTCTTTGGGATTCTTTTTGTTTCGCTTCTTTTTTTTTTTTTTTTTTGAGAGAGAGAGATTTTGCTATAGGGTATGTATGCTTGCCAGAAAGACAGAGAGACAGAAAGTGAGAAATCACACACACACCCAGGGGGCATGGCCACACTGCAATCCCTTCTCCTCCATTCTCCTCTCAGGATCTTGAGCACACATGCACACGTGCCTGATGTGAGTTTAAGCCACCGGGTCCAGGACTCAAACTGTGGTCGACTACATGGGAGTCCAGCAACATAGCCATTAGGCCAACTGCTGGTCCCGCTTCTTTGGGATTTTTAATGTAATTGGTAACCCTAAGAGAAGCTAGCCACCTTGGGCCTATCTCCATTACAATCCTGGTCTGAGTGAAAGCTAGAAAAGGCCTGAAAATGTGATATTCCAGATGACACCAAAAGCACAGTTATTCTATGCCTTTCATTTTGCCATACAGTTCCCCACTGTAGCAATCAGAGCTCTGTAGAAGGCAGAGCAGGACCATCACATGCAGGATATTCAGCATTAAATAATACTAATAGTTAGGGATTTTCACTCAGCAGGTGTATTCCCCTAGGCAAGTAAAACACCCATGATTTTCCTCTTACAGCTAACCAAAAAAAATAATAAAAGCCAGTTATAATACTGTTTTTTGACAAAAGAGCACTAAGGGTAAGATCGTAATTAACTAATAAAGATAAATTGGCAAATAATTTTAATTGTATCTTCTTATGAAAAATGCTACTGAAGAATTATATTAAAATATCTTTACTAGTTGAGCTTTATCTAACTATTACAGATGATTCTAGGATATCTTTAGGTACCTTTAGTGTAACACATGTCAAGGAACCATTTAATATTTCATATCGGTAATAATGTTGTAATTATGCACTCCCTTCCTCTGTGAGTTCCTATCTCTTATTCTAACAACTAGGACAGGTTTCCCAGGAGAATCTTGCCAGTTAAAGAAAATGTGCTTTTGAACCTAGGAGTTAAAAAGTGTGCTCCAATCTAACAGTGTTTTTAATTAATTGGCTTTCAGATATTTGAGGCGACGGCTCTCTATATCACAAGAGAAACGTTTACCAAAATCTTACAAATTTTTTTTTTTCTCCAAAAACAAAATTGGAACTGCAGCTTTTAAAAGGATACTTATCTTCATTGGGTTGACATCTAAGAAAAAGAAATCAGCATCTGTTACTTTAGATATATGGATCAAGCTATTTTAAACCTTAGCAAGTAAAATAGCCAGGTGATTGAATGGATTTATGTAAAGCATAAGCATCTGCTGCTCACTTTTGTTTATTTGAAGTTAATGAGAACTGAAGGAAAAGTTGAGATAGGTACTTCCAGATATGATGGTCAAAATCGTGTATTTTCCAGCTGGTGGAGACCAGTCCTGGCCGTCCAGTGCCCCCTCACTACACAGGTTGTGTCACTAACCAGGAAGGCTGTTTGGCTCTTAACCTTTACTCTTTTCCAGGGTAGCCAGTCTGACCTCTACTCTCCATTCTTCTCTTCCCAAAGTGACTGATGCTTCTAACAATCAGAGATCTCCAGGGCAAAAAACAAAGCACCAATCTATCTTGTCAGTTATACTTGCATTGGTTTAATATTTTTCCATCCCAGAAACGTTTTTTGAATGTTAAGAGTATTTTTCCATGTCGTTTTCTCTTTGTAGGCTGATGTACTTGGGGTTTTTCCATTGCATCCTCAATATGCACAGAAGATAAGTGCTACTGTACCCAGATAGGGCTTGATCCTAAAAGTCAACCTCTGACCACAACTAGTTTTAATCTCTTAGATCTAACATTTTTTCATCATCCACAATGCTAGTAAATGTTGACTCTTGGTCTTGCAGATTTACATTGCTTTTCTTGTCTACAAGCCATATCATTTTGCAACAGTCTCACCCAAGCCAATGAGACAATGAAGACGATTCAATATTCATATGATCATATTTAAATATCATATATTTTGAAAGGCATTTAAACTTGTATTCTTTTTTAATAAATAATTTTATTCATTCATTTATTTTAATTTGACCAGAGAGAGATACAGAGAGATAGGGAACGTGAGAAAGGACGCCACCAGGGCCAGGGCTCGAACCTTGGTTGGCCATGTGGAAGTGTCCGGTACCTTAACCATCACACCACCTGCTGGCCCCAAAACTTGTATTCTTATAAAAGCTCCTTTCAAGTGAAAATCTTGGCAATTTTTCATACAATATCAGAAAATTATTTTCTATAAATAATTATTATGACTTCTTAAAGGCAAGGATAAAAGGATACTTAGGTTTTCTCGTTATCAACTTACCCTACTGATGTCCCACCTAAAAAATTTTGGGTAGTACAGAGCTGGACTGTTACTCTGGTACTTGGTAAATGTTCATTTAGCAAATAAGTGTTCCCCTCAGAAATCTAAAAGAAAAAAAATCCATTTAGAAATTCATGAAAATTGTCTTACTATAGGAGCATTAGGGAAACAATAGTTGGAATTAAATTTATTATAATGTTACTATGTGCAAGGACTCCCTAAACATTTTATTTAATATCTCATTTACTCCTCCTGACAATTCTATACATTTTGTACTTCTGTACTCCACATTTCACAGACAAGTAAATTCACTTAAATAACTTGTTCAGATCACATGCAACAGAATGGAGCAGACATTTGAGCACAGGTCCGTCTGGCATCAGGACTATATACTTCATCATAATTTTCAGCAATCCTACTACCTTTTGTTACTTTTACTTCTCTAGCCAAATGAAGTTAATTCTAATTTCTGAATGACTAAAGTTAATCCATTTCATCTCTGGAAACATAGAAACAATCTCATACATGTAATTAAAATATTGATCTCTACATGCCATTCCAAAGTAAAATGCAATATATTGGGTCGTTGGAAAAGCCATGACATATTTTTGCATAGAAAAATTCATCATGACTTTTCTGACTACCCAAAAATAGCAATTTAGAAATTAGTCAACATTGGGGCCAACAGGTGGCGTAATGGTTGAGGTACTGGACGCTGACTGTTTGGACATGGCCAACTGCAATTTGAGTCCTACACCTGGAGATTTGCTTTCTCACTTTCTCTCACATGTTCTCTCTTTCTCTCTCTGGTTAAAAAATAATGATGATGATAAATAAAATTAAATAAATAAATCTCTAAAAAAAATAGTCAACATATCTTACCTTTTCTTACATTTTTATTTTTTACTTTTTTTTTTTAAGAGAGATTGTTTGCTATAGGGTATGTGCACTCGTGTGCTTGTTGGAAAGACAGAGAGAGAGACAGAGAGAGAGAAAGTGAAAAATCACCCCTCCAGGGGGGTTGGCCACATCACAATCCCTTCTTCTCCAGTCTCCTCTCGGGATTTTGGGCACGCTTACACGTGCACTAGGTGTGAGTTCAAAGTCGACAGATCCAGGACTCAAGTCACAGTGAACCATGTGGGAGTTCAGCGACATAACCATTATGCCATCTACTGGTCCTATTTTCTTACATAGTTTTAAACAAATTAAATGACACACATTATTTCTTAAATAGATCAAAGTAAGAATTTATATACTGTGGTGATGATAATTAAATTATATTTAAATGAACATTTTTTTATTAATACACTTACCTAAAAATAAAAGCATGTTTTGGGTCAACCTCCTAGCACAGTGGTTAAGCACTGTGCATTGGGAGCCAAATCCTACATGGCCAACTGAAGTTCAAATCCCCACCTCAGTGGCTTGAAAAACATGCCAGGTAGGTGTGTGTGCATGCCTCAAATTTTGACAGGATGGTGAACTGGAGGAAAAAGGATTGTGATGTTACCAAACCCTATCAGAGGGGTTCTCTTTCTCTTTGGGAAGCACATATGCCTTCAGCAAAAAAAAAAAAAAAATATTAAGCATATTTTGCTATAAAAATTACATATCACGTATAAATGACAAAATTATTTCAGAAATTAATGATGGATCTCACATGATCATGTCTTACATAGAAAAGTTTGGAAATATAAACAAGTTAGTAAATACTGGCCAAGTTCAGCTTCTACACTTCATCAATGAAAGGAGACCATGGATGTTTTGTTTGGATAAACATAGACAGTGGCAGAGGCAGGATTAGTACCAATCTGATTTGATTTTCATTGAATCAAAGTGTCTGGTATCGTTTTTACACTTCCTTGTATTGCTGCCCTTGTGTTCAGTAGGAGAAAACAAAACAAAACTATGTGACCAACCCTCCATAGTTTGTCTGGAAACAAGTGACTGATGGACTGACTCAAATCCCAGCCTACCTATCTTGTGTACCATTCTTCCTAAGTGTCTGCTCCTGCTGCAAGACATGGCACTATAGCAATAGAAAAATCCCTAAACCAGTATCTTCATGGCTGGAGCAAAATTAAGCCTTAGAAAGGCTACGAGGAGTGATTCAGACACTAAAACAGTCAGAAGAGAGTGTTTTTATAGCCCTTGAGACTTCCCAGGCCCTCCCAATTACACCATATAGGGAGTTCCGAGAGCTCCTGCTGTCCATGAAGACGGGTCTGGAGTGGATCCCTGGTGTGACTTAAACTAGCAAAGCTACACTATGATGTTGACTATTTGGAGATGTAGAAAATCTCCATCCTTTTCTCATCTATTCACACTGCCCTGCTCACTTCATTGCTCCTCTGATTCTCACAAGGGGGCAGTGAAACAGGTTCCCATCATCTGTACTCAGGTTTACAACATAGGGGAGACCACAGAAGTTGTTCCAGGAATTGACTCTCCAATTAAAAAGGAGAAGAGTAATAAGATTTCTAAGAACGTTTTGCTATCTAGTCCAAGTATTTCTCAATCCTGACAGCTGCTTCAGCAATCAAATGAAGCACAGACAGTCCTTAATTCTAGACATGGGGGCCTGAAGCAACCTAGGACAAGAAGAATGGGGGAGGTCTAGGGCACCCACCACTGGGGTCTTCTTACCTTGTTATTTGTCTTTTCTTTAATCTTGCAGGGTTCCAATGCATTGTACCCAAATGTTTTTCTTACTTTTTCACAGCTTTGAGCTTGAGGTGGCTGTAAAATAGCAGGTCTTAAAACATGTTCAGAATGTTTTACAGGACCTTAAAAAGAATAGAAGTAAAAGGTCAATACATTTTTAGTAAAAAAAACCCAAAAAACAAAAAACAAACAAACAAACTAACAACTCCTTTCTTCCTACTTTTAACTAACTATCATGCTTATTTTGTAAGTAATGATTAAATGAGGGACTAATATTAACTAATCAAAGTCAAAATAGCTGATGAATTGCTTAACATCACTCCATGCCCAGCTTTTGCCCAATAACTGTTCACTTTAACCGTAACACCTGACTTACCAGATTTATTAAATTTTTTATGTTTTTGTTTTCCTGTCCTATGTCCATATTCCCTAAGTACACATGTACAAATGGATTAAAATATAGATGGTAAGGGCTGGTCCCGTAGCACAGCATTAAATGCTGCACAGAGAAAACAGGATCCTGGGGTCAGTAGGTGGCGCGGTGGTTAAGGCGCTGGACACTCCCACATGGCAGACTGTGGTCTGAGTCCCAGAGCTGGCGACTTGCTTCCTCACTTTCCCTCTCTCTCTGTCTCTCTCTGGTGAGCATGCATGCCCTGTGGCAAGTTAAAGAGTAATGATGATGATAAATAAAATTAAATCATTGTTCGTTAAATAATGATGATAAATAAAATTAAATATTTCTTAGAAAGAAAAAGAGATCTATAAAAAAAGAAAGAAAAGAAAAGAAAGAAGGAAAACAGGATCCCACATGGAGTCCCAGTCTTAAAAGACACTCCGGGTGCGTGTGCATGAATGCCCCAAATCCTGACGGGATGGGGAAGTGGAGGAAAAGGGACTGTGGCATGATCATGCCGCACTATTAAGATGATCTCTCTCTCTCTCTCTCTCTCTCTCTCTCTCTCTCTCTCTCTTTCTGAGAAGTGCACACACTCTCTGGCAATTTTTTAAAAACCCGTATATTAATATATATTGATAGATGATAAACTATAAACTTTTGAGGCTCTTGAAATACAGAGAAGTTGCATACCTGGTTCTGCATTGTTCATATAAACATTCCTCTGCACAAGAGTTGGTGTCATAAAAACATTGTTTTTATTCACTGTGGAGAAAAAAAACATTTAATAGTTTAAACATCTGTTTTGTGCATTTCTATTTCATTTGGATTTTAACCATCCTTTTCTGAACCTACCAATAGATGGCACTGTTAGCACTAACAGTGTAGCCAGAGCACATTGGCACACTTGTTCTGCTAAAAATGGGATTGTCAAATGAGCTTTGCTACATGGTTCCATTTATTCTCAAAAGCCTAAGTGAAAAATTAGGTCACTAACAGAAAAGGAAGTCTTCTTTAGAATCATGAAATAGTGTACTGTGAGAAATTCTAAAGATTATAAAATCTGAATTGGTAATGAACCCTCTGTGCATTACTACATATATAGCTCTTAAAGAATGTGGTAAAACTGTTAGCAAAGTCTGCCCTCTCCTCCCATCCTTTAACCAATATACCTAAAGAAAGAAGTAAAGATGACCATTATGCTAGGCTATTTTACTATAAGTGCTTGGTGGGGTAAGACTGTGGTGGCTGCCAGTACAAAATTTCTATACATTTCAAAGGGATCTCCTCTTGATTGCAAATGGAACAGCAACCTTTGTGCATCTGGTTAACAGAGATGAGATAAGAAAAAAAAATGCTTTAAAAAGTATTCTTCAAAGTATTCTAACTTAAAAGTTGGGGGTAGAATTGCTTCTGTAGCTCAAAGTTCAATTTTATGGTTTTTATGATCTTTATTACTGAAAACCACTGATGAGTGGGCCGTATAAAAGTGTACTATTTTTCTCCTTTCCAACACCTGCAACATTCTGCACAAGATAATATAGAAGATTCTTACTGATACCAATGCTTCCATATTCATTCTTTGTTATTGTGTCTGCAGTTTTAAAAATGAATTAAAATGAATTAGAGCAGTTAGCTAAATAACCTAAAGCCGTCCCTTTACTTTATGCACTACCACAAGAATACAGTATCTTCGCACTGGGATTAGGACTTCTAATTCTCTGAGCTAGGAAGTGTTTCTTCTGTGTCTAAAAGGTGCCTGACATACTGTCACTTAGTCAGGCTTGGAATTATTAATAAGAATATGTATTTATTTATTAAAAACTCTGTAGTTTATGGATAGAGAGGAATCAGCTCAAAGCAAGTGAATATGGGACCAGCAGTTGGCGTAATGTCTATGACTCTGGACTCCCATGTAGTTGACCACTGTTCGAGTCCCAGGCCCAGTGGCATAAACTCACACTGGGCGCGTGTGCATACATGCCCAAGATCCCGAGAGGAGAATGGGGGTGAAGGGATTGCAGCGTGGCCATCCTCCCTGAGGGGTGATTTCTCTCTTTCTGTCTGTCTGTCCCTCTCTGTCTCTCTGGCCAGCGCATGTGCCCTATAGCAAAAAATACTCTCAAAGGAAAAAAAAAAAAGTGAATAGTTAGGATTTTTTATTCCTTAGTGACGAACTTAACTTGTAAAAGGTAATTGGTTGTTCAGTAAAAATAAAAACATACAAGAAAAGAAGTCACCATTTTAATGGGAAGAAAAGTACCAATTATTTCAAATATTTCACTGTGATAAAATGATTTTTACTTAGCAAAGCATAGCAAGTTTCAAGTACATTGGAAGTAATGTTTTAATCAGTAATAGGTTCTAATGAAATTATATCCTCAACTTCAGAATATAAAATCTAAAGGATAGTTGTATATTTTGAGCACTCTGTATATTATAAACCACATAGATGGATGATAATAAGCACATTGCTTGCATTTTATAGGGCTAGTTTATATACAATTCTGTCATAAACATGAAATCCTAAAAAAGTATGAACAAGGTCAAGCTTTCTACCAAAACAGAAACACATGCTGTCTGTATTTGTGGAGCTAGAATTTATAAGGTATTCTTCCATGCATACTTTGCTAAGGACTTGATTTGATTTATTGCTAAAATATCAGCATTTTGTGATAGTTAAAGAAGAAAACACATGATTAATAAGAGTGATTTGGAAAAGTCAGAGCATCAGGCATGAGGGTCTAGAAGCTCTTCATTACCTGGCCCAGAAGGAGGGAAGGTTGGGAGGTCAGTGAAGGATGAAGATCTCATTCGCTTCTGAGACAAGGTTGACACTAAAAGCAGATCGTAAACTATACTCAATACAGAAGTGGGTTTTTTGTTTGTTTTCATTTGAATTATTGATGTGAAAAAATTTCTGTATCACTAATTTAGAAAAATATTTGTATTTTTAATCAATGAAAATAAATGGAGTACCTCTGGAAAGGCTATAAATTAATTTCCATTCTCAAATATTTTTTGAGTGCTTACCATGTGTTAGGATACTTTATCAGGCATGATGATAACTTCAAGGAACTCACAGTGAAATAGGCACACATATATATAATATTGTCATACCAGGCAGAAAGCAACAGAGCCCATCATAAATCATTGGCATGCTTTGAGGAAAAAGAGAGGCAAACTAAGCTACTGATTTACTCAAAATACAGTGTAGACATCTGATTAGTAAGCAGATGTTATTTTTTAAATGGATGTTTCCACTACTTCTAAAACTAATACAGGGCCAGCTGCTGGCATGGTGGTTAAGACAGCTGGATCCCACATGGCTGACTGTGTGCCTGAGTCCCAGACTCAGAGGCTTGAGAAATAAGCTAGGCACATGTGTGTACATGCCCAACATCTCAAAAGGAAAAATGGAGGAGAGGGGATTGCGGTGTGATCATCCCCTTTGGGGGAGAGGGTGCTTCTTCACTTCCCTACTTTTTTGTTTCTCTCCAGCAAGTACGTGTACCTCATAGCAAATTCAAAGAACAATAAAATAAAACCCAAAAAATTAATAGATACTCAATGCAGAAACTATAGAAACAGAAAAATGCAATAGTGTTGAGAGGTGAGAGGGGCAAACCACTTTTAATTCCATTATCTAAGCAAACCACTGCTACCATTATGACTCATGTCCTTTCAGTATTTTTTTAATGCCAATAAATTAAATTTTTAAATACTGATTCGCTATATAATCCACTGTACAACTTGCTTGTTTTTTTTTTTTTTTTTCACGTAACAACATAGTATAAGCATTATCCAATGGGTAGACTTTTAACATTACCCTTTTAAAAAGTTTCTTAGTAATTTCATGTTCAGAATAAACCTGACAGTGAACAATCAACAGCCAAGGCTATACATACCTCCTTGGGACTGAGACTCTGTATTGTGCAAAGTGAAAGATGAAGACCGTGCACGCTTTCTTGAAAAACCATTACATTCTGCAAGAAATTCAATAGGAAGGATAAAATTGCTTGCAATAACAAGCTATTCTTAACCCATGGTATGGGAGAATGATTTCCTTTGGTCTACATAGTTCATTATTTGATAATATGTTAACTCCTGAAATACCATTGCAACAGTGGGGTTAATGAGTTGGTGATTATAAATCTGTAAGCATTTTATGCTAACATAAAGCAAATAGAAATGAGTGGGCTTGGGGCCAGCAGGTGGTGTGGTGGTCAAGAGCACTGGGCTCCCACATGGCCAAGTGCAGTTCAAGTCCCGGACCCGGCAGCTTTTTTTCTCTCTCTCTTTCCCCCCTCTCTCCCTTCCTCTCTGGTCAAATTAAAATAAAGTTAAATAAAATATTTTTAAAAAAATAAAAAAGAAATTAATGGATTCAGCAAGACATCGTGTATACATTCCAAGGGTCTACAGAGAATGTTTGGTTGGTTAAGGGACAGGCAGTGGAGAATGATAGAATTTTCTTGGCTAACATCATCTTTCAAAACAAAAGCCAATCTACTTGTGTGTTTAAAAACAGGAAAAATCATTAAGTTTTACAGTCTGCTGCATGCCCAAATCCTTGTGCCTGCCTTTCTTTGTATGAAGATTGGTTTTGAAGTACAGGACATAAAGCCTTACCATATTTTTCTGCTTCATTTAAGATATCTTCTGCAGGCCTCTGAAAGGAAACAAAGCTGTCAGTGAGAGCTGAGTATTTACACTTTATTTATTTATGTATTAGAGTGATTTTTGCTATAGGGTACATGTGCTCACCAGAGAGACAGACAAAAGGCAACAAATCACCCCCGAGGGGGGATGGCCACACCGCAATCCCCTCTCCTCCATTCTCCTCTCAGGATTTTGGGCATGCACATACACGTGCCCAGCATGAGTTTCAGGCTGCCAGGTCTGGAACTCAAACCATTGTCAACCATGTGGGAGTGCAGCAACATAACTATTACACCATCTGCAGATTTCAACACTGCCCCTATGTAGGGAATTCTGAGAAGCTGGAGCTATTCAGCTCAGCCGGGACAAAGTAGCTCACCTTTTATTCGTTAGGCATGTTAGTCAAGAAAAAGCAGTCTAGTGCAATGGTTTTATACTCTGAAGACTACAAAATCTCTTGTGGGAATCTGTTCAAAATGCAGATTAGCGTTTAGCGTAATGGCTATGTCTCCCATGTAGTCGACTGTGGTTCAAGTCCCTGACCCGATAGCTTAAACTCATGCCGGGTGCATGTGTGTGCATGCCCAAGATCCGAGAGGAGAAAGGAGGAGAAGGGATTGCGGCATGGCCATCCCCCCAGGGACGGGGGGCAGTGATTTCTCACTTTCTGTCTCTGTCTCTGTTTTTCTGGTGAGTGCACACACCCTATAGCAGAAACCTCTCCAAAAAAAGGAAAAGAAAAGAAACAAAATGCAGATTTTGAGGCACTGACTCAAAATTGTAAAGTGGCTAATCTGACATAGAGTCCAGCAATCTGCTTTTTGAACAAGGGCTTGGAGGTTGAACTTTTCTTAAATTCAGCTTGTTTTGTAAATCGTAGGGTGAATTGCCTACATAGGCAAGAATAAATACCAAGAAAATGATAACAAGCTAAAGTGAGAATGCCATTAATCTTAGTGTTTGCCTTTCAAAGCAGATTATTTTAGTAAAAATAGATAGGGTCCATAAAATCCCTTTCAAATCTAATATCACAGTTTAGAATTTATTTTTTTGCCCAGTTTTATACTATGTCAATGGTAGGTAACCATAAGAAGCCTTAGCCCTCCTAATCTCTTTCAATTCCTCCCCTTCCCAAATCACTCCAAATAAACATATTCTTTCAGTTAAAAAAAAAATAAAGTATGTTGTCCATTGTTTCAAAACAGAGTCTCTAGCTTCCCATTTCAGCCTAATTGGCATGTACTACTCTGCTAGTAAAGAACACAGGATGAAGCTAGACATAGCAGTAACATCTTTTAGTCTAACTAGCTTCTTAAAACATAATTTTCTTTGTGAAAATCAAATCAAATACAGGAAAGTAGTTGGAGCTTACCTTAAACCTTTGGCGTTGTTTTTCAAAAATAAATATTGGCTGAGCAATGACAGATTTTTCTGTAAAAGACAATGAACAGTCAAGAAATCAAAGCATACTCTAATATTTTTAATACTGGCTAAAAATACGTGAAAAAAATGTTTTATTTCTGTATTTTTCTTGCCATGTGGTAAAATCCAAACAATTTCACATGGATAACTGTAAATTGCATATTTATAAATAAACAAATAATTACAAAAATAAGTATTTGGGGAAAGTAGCCCTATGTTTCATACATACAGAGATAATTCCATTAAAAGAACATTCTTTGAGTATTTAAGGAAACCAAAATATAAATACCTGACTTTAGAATTTCAGACAGTGATTAACAACTTTTTTAAGAATAAAAGATTTTAATACACTGGGTGCATATGTGCCATGTGCCCAAACCCATAAGGACAGCGAAATGGAGGAGAAAGAAATGCAGCGTGGCCACTCTTCATGGTGGGGATTCTCTCTGGCCAATTAAAAAACAAAAGTTTCAATGAGAAAAAAAAAAACCTCATCTGAGAGTAGTATTAGGATCTAAAGTATAAATGGCATAGATGTACTGCATCTAGTCCTTCAAATGATCCAGAAATAGTTTATATTTCCCTCATTTATTTTCCCAAACTTTATTTGTATTATTTAGATCAAATATCAGTCTTACTCAGATTAGTTAAAACTTGTCTTCAGCCTTGCCATTCTTAATCTTGTATTTTCCTGTCAGGTAAGACAATAGAAACACATTCACTCTAGGATATGCATGAACAATGACAGCTTTACATACCAGCACACCAGAATTCTTAAGAAATATATGGCATTTAAGAGTTTGAGTTCTGGAGTTAGGCATGTGTTCAAATATAAATTCCACCACTAACTGACTATTTGCTTTGAGAAATAGTATGTCTGTACCTTCTTTTTCTCATCCAAAAAAAATGAAGATTATAATAGTAATCTACTTCACACAGAGTCTGTGTGAAGATTGTATTTTAACAAGACAAAAGAAGAGCCTTAAAGAAACAATCTTAAGTATTTAGCATGCCATTGATTCTCATTCTAAAACTCACAGGTGACATTGCTAACTGATGACAGCACATTTCTTGATGAGCCCAAATATAACCTCAGAATGTTTCTCATTATAGCAACCATTACCAATATATTGTCTTGGCAGCTCTAAGGTAATTTGCCATCCTTCAGCTCAATAAAGCAATCTGTAACTGAGGAATGCCAAGAAGCTACCAGACAATTGTATATTTTTATGCCAGAAAGGGGTTCCCCATTCCTCCATAATGTTATCCCATAACAGAGTGTCATAAATTCTGGCAAAGTACCCTTTGCCAATCTCCTGAAGCCATGAGAACTTGGGTACCCTCTTCCAGTCCAGTGAGATAAATACATTGTTCAATTTTTGTGCAAGTGTTCACCATATTGTCTGTCCTTGGAGCCAAGTGAGCTCCAGCAGAAAATGTTCCATGACATGTTGGCATTCCCATCTATATAAAAGTATAGTCCAATGTTTTGTTCTTTCTTAGATCAAGCTTCTTTTCCCATTACATTAGAGTTAAACAAGGACATCCATAGTGATTTGAAAGAAAATGGATTTGTGAATGCACAGTGGAATATTTATGAATTAGAAAAGCAAACAGAGCTCTTCTGAACCACGCTTAGCATAATCATGTTTAAAAGAGCATAATTTGGCTTAAGCTTAGACAAATGACATGTAGACTTTCCTTCTATCAAAATGTACTGCTAACAACATAAAAAACGATCTTCAATGGCAGCATTAGAGAAGAAATCACAAAGGGTACCTGCAGCTTGGAGCACATATGATAAAATTAGAAGGCCACTTTTATTCATTTATTCAAGATATATTTATTGAGCATCTTTTTTGCTATAGGATGCAAGCGCTTGCCAGAAAGACAGAGAGAGACAGAGAGATAGAAAGCGAGAAATCACCCCCCAGAGAGGGTGGCCACGCCGCAATCCTTTCTCCTCCATTCTCCTCTCAGAATCTTGGGCATGCACACATATGCGCTCAGTGTGAGTTTAAGCCGCCAGGTTTAAACCACGGTCGGCTACATGGGAGTCCAGTGACAGTCATTACGCTAACTGCTGGTCCCTTGAGCATCTTTTTGTGTGTGTGTGTGCCAGTACTACAGTAGGAGCCAGGGACGTACAGTATACACATGGCTTGATTGGAGGCATATTAGTGGCAGGGCAGCCCCCTTCTCTTCTTGCCACTGCCCAGCACATCAGTTAGAAGCAGTCTATCTCCATATCACCTCTTCCACCCAGATTCTCTCCCCTTCTACCAAACAGTTCTCTTGGCTCCAAAGGCAGAGTCAAAGTAAACATTTATTGAGCTATTGGGCACAACAAACTTCTCACATGACCTAGTGGGGGAATTTGAAAATAAAAGCAAAATACCTGGGCTAGCTCCATACCCAAATGATTGAGGGAACTAGATCCCACATGGCTGACTGTGATTTGAATCCTAACCCTGGGGGCTTGAAAAATCCTTTTCTTTCTAGTACAGTCATTAATTAATCCATTTCTTAAAAAAGAATTATTTTATTTTGACTTTATTAATTATTATTATTATTTTCCAGTTTGACCAGAGAGAGACAGTGAGGGAGAGAGGGAAAGTGAGAAAGGAAGCCACTGGGTCTGGGACTTGAACCATGGTTGACCATGTGAGAATCCAGAGCCTTTAAACACCACATCACTGCCAGCCCCAATTAATGCATTTATTCAGCCAATATGTATTGTGGGGTGAAGATGTACAAGACATTTTGCAAAATATTGTGGATAAATTACAAAGCCCTCATAGAACTTTCACTGGGGAGTCGAATCAGAACTAAAAATTAAGTACACAGTTATTTAAGTTTATTTGGGAGAAGGGTTGCAAAAGAGAAATAATAGGTTCTCTGCAAGTTACCAACAGGGGAACCTGTCTGGTTGCTAGGGTCTTGGTAGAGCTCTTAGAATGGGTTACATTTAGGCAGACTTGTAGAATGTGAAGGAGTTAGCTGGGTAAAGGTGGGTAGAGTGCATTTCAAACAAAGGGAGAAGTAAGAGAAATGTCTCTGAGGAAGAACGGAGCTTGGCATATTCCAATAATGAAGCAGTGTGCCTCATACCCTAAGAGGATAGCAGACAAGTGATACAAAATGGGGTTGAAAATGAGGTTGGAGCTTTGCAAGTCCTTATGAGTTCTGCCAAGTTTTGTTTTTATTCTAAGAAAAATTAGAAGCCAATGAAGGATTTTAAGTGGAGACTGATTTTCTCTTATATGCTTTTTTTTTTTCTTTGTAAATGACTCTGCCTCGTTCATGGAAAATGGATTAGAGGAGGAAAGGGTTGAGGGAGAGGTGGTGAGGAATCTAAGAGGCTGGTCTAAGTTCTAGGAGACAGTTAATGAAGTTGCGCTTTCTTTGTTTCTAATCTTGGATTCATAATTTGTTTTTGAGAGAGACAGAATCATTAACAATTTAAAATACAGTCTTCTGGGAACCAGCAGGTGGCATGGTGGTTAAGGTGCTGGACACTCCCACATGGCTGACCGCAGTTTGAAACCCAGACCTGGTGGCTTCTTTCTCACTTTCTTTCTCTCTCTCTCTGTGTCTCTCTCTGGCTAAATTAAAATAAATGAATGATTAAATTAAATTATAATAATTCTAAATAAATAAATAATTAAAATAATACAGTATTCTCTTGCAAGGAGTAAAAATGAAGGGATGGGAAAGAAATACTTTAAAACAAAGAATAATTTTGATGTTTTGGCTGTTTTAAGATTCATGTAGCATTTACATTTAATGAATCCCTATATTAATTGTGGTTTTCTGAACTATAACATGAAGAGAAGACATTTATTCACCCCACAAACGTTTTATTGAGTACCTGTTATAAGAAAGAACACACAGTACTATCTGCATAATTCAATCTCAGTTCACCTGTAATTCTTCTCCTCACTGATGGTCTACCAGGGTCAAGTGCTTTTATCCATCATCTCATTAATTTAATCCTTTGAATTATTTTGTGGGGTAAATATGGAAGAATTGAAGGCTCAGTTAAGTAATTAGTTCAAAGTCATAACACTAGTAGGGTTTTTATTTGTTTGTTTGTTTAGTTAAATTTTTCCTTCTATTAGTGAGTGAGACAGAATGAGAAAGGTAGAGAGGAAGAAAGAGAGAGAGAGAGAGGCTGGATCCCCCAGTAGGATGGCAACACCATGATCCGCCCCAGCCTTTAACCAGCTCTGGATGATGGGCATGTGCATGCCTGGCTTACTTAGGGACATCTCCAGACTTGAACTGGGGACCTTCCCTTGTGGGTTTGCCTTGCAAAGTGTTGTGCTTTACCTCTGTGCCACAGATTGGACCCCTGCAAAGCCTAAACCACTGATCTGAACTTACATCAGACTGTCATTAATTCATGTATGGCTTTACAGATGTGTCTATAAACACAAATCATGTTCCAAGTGTGTAATATACATCATCTGGCACCAAGCCTAGTGAAAATCAGTATAAAATAATGACACTTTTTTTCAACTTTGTCAAAGTTGATTGATCACAGATATACAGTTCTACTCACTTGTGAAATGAAAAAACACACACAATAATAAAGAGGCTATTTCGGGGAGGGGCAGTAGGGAAGAGGAGAAGCCACCACAAAGGCAAGGAAAACTAAAGAGAAGTAATAGTAACAAAACTGTGAATGTCGGAAAGTGGAAGAGTAAGTGGAACCTGAATAAGCAGACCATGAAAGCTGAGCTGAAGGTGTAGGCCAGCAGAGAGGATACTGGACAGCATCCTGGTTAATCCCCCACAGAAATACTACAAGTCCAGGGTTTGGTACCAGTAAGTATCCTGGAAGCAGAGATGAAATCTGGCTGAAATAGAAGGATGTTTTGTCTGTTTGGCAATAAAACAACTGTCCCTAGCAGAAAACTGGAGGGTCATTCCCTGCAAAATATTTTTAAAAAGTAGAAATCTGATAAAAAGAGGGGAATTGTGTGAGTTTACATGCTATGTTAATT